CAACCCCACTAAGATCATATTTTTCTGATTTATCAATTGGCCAATTTACACGTTTAACAATGTCTTCTGATGTAATTAGAGGTTCAGCTCCACTATCTAGTACCAATGCTGGAATTTTAAGCGTTTGATTTTAACTGGTATAGTTGCAAGGCTTGTGGTAGGTTCCTTTCTTTGAACAAAATCTATCTCCATAGGATCATTCAATGTCTCCTCTTCACTATCTGATTTGGGTATTTCTGGGGCCAGCTCTCGATAATTTATAAAGTCAGGTTTTGCAGGCCCTTTAGAGGTGACTCTTTGAGTCATAGATAAATTCGGATTATTAATATTGTTTTTAATTGTTTCTATAACCTCTGGATCGTTAAACATAGCTAAAATAATTTTTCGAATTTGTGAGTCAATAATCGTACCTGATTTCTTTTGTGAAGTATATTTTTTTGGACTAGATTTCTTCTTAGAGGATAATTTAGGTATGTAAGCATCCTTATTTTGTGAGCCAGATTTCTTTACTTTTTTTTTATCTTGCTAATATTAATATTCATACTTTCAACTTCAGATGAAGACTCCTCAGACTCGGATTCATTATCGGAGGAATTAGATCCAGAATCGCTACTGGAAGAATTATTAGTATCAGAATTGGAATCTATAGAAACCTTATTGACACTACCTTTCTTTCTGGACCGGCTCTTCTTTTTATTTCTCAGACATTTAGGAGAATTTGAACGATGCCCAATCTTATTACACTTTGAACATCTGTATTGTGTCTTCATAGCTTTTTTCACAGCTTTATTTACAACTGCATTTATTGATAGCTCACTCATACGATTAGCTAGCTCTTTATCAGAGTCAACTTTACTCTTTTTTATTATTGGTTTTGGGGGTAAATTAGGCTTTGGAATAGGAATAAATTCTGGAACTTCCTCAGTGATCCATTGTAAAAATCTACCAATATTTGTATCTCGTATAGTCTGGTACGTTCCTGGGGGTTGTGGTCTATAATAAGCTTTAGATAGCTGTGTTGGTTGTATTTCCTGAGAAACTAATTGTGAAGAAACGGGTTGGGTTTGTGCGGGTGTTGTCATAGATTTTATCAAGTTTCTAACTTCAGTTTCGGTCATACCTGAGTAATTATCCTTTCTATGAGCTTTTTTTGAATCTGAGTTTGAATACAGGTAAGCTCCAGATAATTGCTCGGCCTTATATCTTTCAATCTCTTCAAGTTCTGTGAGCAATTCAGAAACGGGCCTGTTAATTCCAATGCGTCGAATTTCTAATTGATTATCGGGAGAAATGCCACGAAGAAATTGTAATCGAATTTGTTGTTCATCAATACCAGCGAGTCTAGCCAATTTACGCGATTTTGAATAGAAATGACCAACGGGATCACTACCCTGAACTGCTGATCCAAAGATCATTCGTTGCTTCTCTGCAGTAACAGTTGGATAGTTAGTCTTGAGCCAGTATATTACCTGACCAAGTCAAACCCCATCTGCCACCACAGATTGACCAACGTTGGCATTTGGTAGATTTATTATGCGATCAGTTGAACGACCATCAGCAAAGACCAGTCCTCGTCAAATACTGTATGAGCTGGAATAATAATATTTCCGGCTTGACCCACAGCATCATGTCTTAAATTTGCACCAAGTTGCACCGCCGTTCGTTCTTGAACCAGAGCTAAAGTGGCCTGCCCAGTGTTATCCAGTAAATTTCTCAGTTCCCAATTCTTTCTTCGAAGAGACCTTTCATACCAATCTTTGGCATCGCCTTTAAGGCATGTTTCAAAGAGTCTATGTGCACGAACTCTATTGGCATGCCCACCAGCTATATCGATTCTGGCAGCCACAAGATATGAACGAAAAGAATCAATAAACTCCTCTGGATCTTCATCGGAATATCTGTGGTAAGTTGGGGGTGCATATCCTGCCATACCTCTTCTATTGTTATTTATAGGTGGGTTATTCTGTAGCGCAAAAATTTGTTGATTTAAATTATTAATTAATTGTTCAGAATTTCGGGCTCGGGCTTTCCACTTACTCCACTTGTTGTCCAGTTGAACATCGGCAAGTAATAGATCATTTTCTAGAGTCTTGCATTTATTTTTCCACTTATTGT